TTTTTTTTTTTTTTTTTTTGCAGCGCGGGATACCAAATCCAGAGCTCCCCTACTCCACCAATGAACAATACTCCATAATGTCTTAAAAAATATTTTGAGCAGAGCACAGGAGCCTACATCTATAATCCCAGCATACTGAGGCTGAGGCAGGAGGATCATGAGTTACAAGCCTGGTCTACACTGAGAGTTGGACTATATGGTGAGACCCTGTCCCAAAAAACAGAAAAATCAGTATTTTGGGGCTGGATATAAGGATTCAGTGGCAGAACACTTGCCAAGCATCTGCAAGGCCCTCAGTTCAATTCCCAGCACTGAAAAACAACAAAAGTGAGAATCCTGGAAATGAAGCCAGAACAAACCCAGACTCCCTTAGCAAATTATCTGCAAATCCTGTTGATGATGAGTTCTTTTTAAAGAGGCCAATCCATTGGGAACATGCATATTGCCAGATGTCCAAACCCTCAAAAAATGAAACTATTTTAGTTTAAGTGCAAAAAAGAAACCTATTCCATAAAAGACAAGCAACAGTCAATCTCGATATACAGTAAAGAGGGGAAGTCCTGTCAGGACAGAGTAGCCTCCAGCCCTGTGAATGTGTTGCCAAACATGTACACACAGTACCCACGTGGTCCACAAAAATCCCAAACAAAATTTAAAGAGCCTCAGAAAAGAAAAGCCTAGGAACCATATGGTTTTGAGGAGCTGCATGAGAACTATATGAAAAACTAGAACTATGAAGATGTTGCTAGAAGAGACGCACTGACGTGAAAGTACAGAAACACCAATTCTCACTAGACTGGCAATATCCTCTCCTGAGGGGCTCTGCGTGAGAAGTAACTGTTGAGTGTGGCCGGGAGAAGGGAAAAGGCGGGAAACCCCATGGAGATATCACGGTATCTGGCACCATCGCATCTGCATCGCCTTCTGCCACAACTCCAGAGAATCCACCCCTGAACTTCTCTGAAAACATCTGAGAAGGCACACGCACGGCAATCCTTTACATGTTACAATTCGTAACAGTAAAGGCTGAAGCCATGCACGGTGGTGTGTGCCCTTAATTCTTGGTACTGGGAGGCTGAGGCAGGAGAATCGGAAGTTAAGAGGTCAGCCTGAGTAACTTAGTAAAAGCCTGCCTCACAATAAAAAATAAAAGGGCAGAGGATGTAGCTCCATGGTAGAAGGCCTCTAGGTTCAATCCACAACAAAAACTGTGGAAGAATGCTACTAAACAAATTTATTGTTCTAAAACTGATACAGAGAAAAAAATCTAGTATTGAACCTGAGTTTCTTACTCAAACTATATTACTGAATAACCAAACTGTAGATGAGAGAAGATACATACTACTAGTTAGCAATAAAAAGCAGGACCTTACTTCAAATTTACAGAACAAAAGACTATGAAAGAACACGATCAACAACTATATGCCAGCCGGATGTGGAGGTGCACCCCTGTAATCCCAGCACTCTGGGAGGCTGAGGCAGGAGGATCGCTGTGAGTTCGAGACCAGCCTGGGCTACATAGTGAGTTCCAGGTCAGTCTCAACTACATAGTGAGACCCTGTCTCAAACAAAACAAAACAAAACAAAAACAACTATATGCCAATTAGCTGCATAACCTAAATGATATGGACAAATTCCTAGGACAATATAAATTGATGAAACTGACTAAAGAATAGACAGAAAATCTAAATATATCTACAAAAAAAAAAAAAAAGGAGAGATTAGATTAGTAATCAAATACCTCTCAACAAAAGCACAGGGCAGGAGCCAATGGCTTCATTAATGAATTCTACCAAACAAACATTCAAAGAAGAATCAACACCAATGGTTTCCAAATCATCTGAAGAAAGAGTATCTCTTAACTCATTCTATGGAGTCAGTAATATCCCAATATTGAAACCAGTAAAAGACATTATAAAACTATAAGCCAACATCCTGTGTGGAAATAGATACAAAATAGTAGCAAATCAAACTTAGCAGCTTTTAAAAGACTATACTCCACAAGCACCAGAGATTTAGCTCAGTGGTTCTGCCACCTGCCTGGCAAGCACAAGGACCGGCGTTTGATCCCTGGTACCAAAAAAAAAAAAAAAAAAAAGATTATACTCCATGGTCAATAAGATTTATCCCAGGAATGCAATTATATGAAAATTAACCAATCATCACAGTAACACACGGAGGAAATCACACACATGCACACTCACAGAATCATCCCTGTGGAAGCACAGCATTATTCAAAATCTAACACCCTTTTATGATAAAAACTCTGAAAGCTAAGAGCATAACAACATAATTACAGTCATATAAGAAAAGCCCACAGGTAGCATCATACAGCTTTTGCCCCACAGCTACAAGATGAGGATGCCCACTCTTGCCCTTCTGTTGAACATAGGACTAGAAGTTCTAGCCAGAGAAATTAAGCATATTAAGCATACCTGAAGTATTTTTGGGGGAAAACAAAGCAAATCTGGGAATTACTTCTGTGCATATAATTTTTGTCAATTTCGTCTTGCAGGGAACACTGTTTTTCTACCTTCTTTTGATAAAATTATCTTGCTTACTGCCAAACCATCAATATATTTAAAAATAATTAAAACCTATATATCCCGTGAACTGCCTATAATTTAGTATATCCTTTTCTTGTTTGAAGGAAATTTTTCTTTTTTGTTTTTTTGACACAGGGTCTTGCTGTATAGCTTAAACTGGCCTTGAGCCTCCTGCCTCAGCTTCCCCAGTGTTGGGGTTATTGGCAAGTATCACCATGTCAGGCTTTGTTGGGAGCAATGTGTTGTAGATTATTATGGCCAGGCCTAACTCGCCTCTTTTTGCAGATGTAAAACAAGGAACACAATTTTTTTTCTTCTTTGGTGTTGGGGATTGAACTCGGGACCTTGCACTTGTGAGGCAGGTAGCAGAACCACTGAGCTAAATCCCGAACAGGAACGCAGGATCACATATCTTATTCGCTTCCTCCTGAGGATGAGGCAGGGCTCCGTGGTGGTGAGCAGGAGACAAGAGGATGTGATAAAAGAAGGCCTGGCCAAAAAGAGGGCCGGTTTTTGTTTTTTGGTCTATTTGTTAAAAAAAGCAAGCGTGATGTTTTGTAGACCCTAGCTGTCAGAAGGTAAGACTTATTGTCCTAAAAATTATGTCTCTAGTTACTCTGCTTGCCTCCACTGTGGTTGCATATGGGGCTTCAGCACAAAATATACAAAATATAGTATGTCAATCACATAACAAAAAAATACCTCTTATGCCCTTGAGACCCAGGAAGATGCTGATGTTAAGTTAAAAATACAAGTTAATGCCTTAAAAGCTAGTGTTAGAGACTGATAATCATGTTAAAGCCCTACAATACCACCAGGGATTGCAGAGCCACGCTGAATACCCTCACGTTTGTGTTACTGCTCCTCCTAGGAGTCACACGGGATTAAAAACAGTATGCTACACATGTAACAGCCATCTTTCCTCATAGCAACCTCAGCCTAGATCTCCAAAAGTTTCATCAAGAGATCTTGTCCATTCAACCTGCTCATGTTAGTTTCTTCACCCCTGAGGCCATGACAAAATCTGTTCTTGATTCGTTAAATAGATTCAATCCTTTCAACCTGGCCAAACAACATGGCTATGATCTTAAATATTCTGATTTTTCTATTGCTACTAATAATGTTTGCTGTCCTCTACAGTCTTCCTAAAACAACTCACTAAATTTGCCTCAAGACATCACCACAAGCTACAGCTACAAAACACAATGGGGGAGACGCTGGGAGCGCTGTGTTATAGATCACCATGGCGAGGCCTAACTCGCCTCCTCCCACAGATGAGGCAGGGCCCCGTGGGAGAACAGGTGACTCGAGGGCCTGGCCAAAAAGAGGACTATCTTCCTCCCCACCTACTCACCAAAAAACCAAACCGCTGTCTTACAGACCCAAGCCTGCTCCAGTCAGGCAACCCCATTGGTTTCCCTCATCCACACTATAAATAAGGTGCCGAGGATGCACGCCAAACTTCTGTCTCATCTGCGCGTCCACCTGTCCTCAACATTATCAGCTTTACTGTAGTCATTTCTATGTCTGAGTTTCTTAATCTCCCACCATCATTTCTCACTCTGGGAACCCTTCAGCCAGTGGGCTGTGGCACAGCTTGAAAATTTTTTCTTCAAATTTTTTTTGCTCCGTTAAATTTGATCTATTCATTTTATACACCCCCACCCCAGAAAGAGCTCACACGCGCACGCGCACACACACACACACACATACAAACACATACACACAAGCAAAATCCAAGACAGTTTCCTTTCCCACTACAAAAAGCTTTCTGTCGAACATGTGAAGGCTTTTTTGTTTACATTCATGTATACCTTCAAATGAATTAGAAATTTTCTACATTCTATGACTCAATAGTAATGTGTGGTGATAAGGCTGGTTAGGTTTTATTATGGTTCTGAAGTTTGATGCCAGGACTTCAGAAATCATACCCTCTCAAAGAAGTGGAGTCTGCTGTCTTTGGTTTGGTGACTGACTTACTTTGGGATTAGAAAGGCCCTTCAGCTGCACGGAAGACTCAGCAGGCATTAAATTCAAAGGATCCTCCTGGTGACTGTTCTTGTTAACAGTGCCTGAGTTAACCACAGAATCTGATTCTCTTTTATCATTTACGTTGTTTTCCTCCTCGCTTGAATCATCTGGTAGAATGATTCTGGATAATTTCTTTTTTGAACGTGCACAATTCTGCTGCATCTCCATTTGCTTTAGCATTACTGCACGTCGGGTTGTATATTTTTTACTCTCACTTGGAAAACAATCTTCAGTTGTTAAGTTAAAATCAACACAAACTTCTTCTTCACTCAATTGGCTTTTGCAAGACTCCTCTTCAACAACACAGAAACTGTCCTCTAAATAGGTTTCATCTTGTTCCGGAATCTGTAATAAAAACCTAGGTCTTTGAAATTCCTTTCATATTTTCAGCATGTACAATACATATATTCTTTTAAGCACTGATGCTTATTTCACTTATTTTCAAGTCAGTCACTTGTTCAATTGACATACACTAACGTACCTTCTTTATGGAGGAAAATTGGTACGTGGGAGATAAAGACTGATTTATCCTATAGAATTTTACAGTTTGGTAAGGCACTCAGAAACATAAACAATAATAAGAGCTATGATAAATACAATATAAGTACAGAGATATGAATGACCACATTATCATGCCACACATGGTGAACAAATAAAGGAATATATGAAATGCAATTTTTAGATATAACATTTTATGAAAAAAGAACTTTAAGAGAAATACGACATGTATGAGAACTGAAAACCTAATTGGTAGATGATGGTGAAATTCTATTCTCTAAAACACCTTAATTGGAAATTTTTTTCTCTAATTAGTTTAAAGAAAGGATAACTTGCTCAAATTAAGACTAAAAAGGATCCTGAAAATTCATTTAATTCACCTTCCTAACAGGGCAGAAATCTGCTCAGACAGCTGATGGCTCAGATTTAGAAACAAAATAGAAGTTTCACGAACATATTTCAACACCACCATGAGGAAAATATTATTATTTCTATACATTCATACCTGTGAGAAAATGTTTATGTTGCTACGTTTCTTACGGACCATTTTGTACTTATTGCTCATCAATGGACTATGCAAAGATTTCATGTAAATAGCTCTCATTTCAGAATCTGTGTGAAGATAAAGTAGTAAAATTATTTAAAAGAAAAGCTATTCCAAATTTACATTCAAGTATTGAAAAATATTTTATATAAAAGATACTAATAAATATTGAAAGATACCTAAAAAACAATGATTCAAAATCAAAGTAAGCCAGGAGAGATGGCACACATCTGTAATCCCAGCTACTTGGGAGGCTGAGGCAGGAGGATCTCTCAAGTTTGGGGCCAGCCTGGGCACCTTAATGAGACCCTGTTACAAAATTAAATGATGATGATGATGATGATAATGAGGAGGAGGAGGAGAAGGAGGGAGAAAGAAGAGATAGAAGAATGAGAAAAGGGAAAAAAAGGTAGAGAAGAAAGGAGAAGGAAAAAGATGAAAAAGGAGAAGGAAGAACTACTGAACCCAGTTCTCTGAGAGCCTCAAGCAAGAGAATGGCAAATTCAAACTCAACCTGGGCAACTTAGCATAATAGTAAGAACTTGTCTCAGAAAAAATAGGGACTGGGGGATGAGGATGTAACTTAGTGTGAAGGTTGTGGGTCTGACAGCCAGCACCATACAGAAAGAAAAGAGAGAAAGAAAGGAACTTGGGATGTAGGTCAGCAGCAAAGCATTTGCCTAGGATGTTTAAGGCTCTGCTTTCAATCCCCAGCACTGCCAAGATAAAGCCTCTGAAATAACATCATGTAGTTGGGTGATCACAGACAACTTATTTAAGCTCTCTGCGTTGGCCAATTCTCATGAAAACCAGGGTCAGAATAGTGCTTTTTCGTTCAGAACAAATGTATATAAACCAGGCATGGTGGCAAACACCTGTAATCACAGCACTCGGGAGGCTAAGGCAGGAGGATCACTGTGAGTTCAAGGCCTGCCTGAACTGCATAGCGAGACCCTGTCTCAAAAAAATAAAAACAAATGTACATAAATACTTTAGAACTGTACCTAATTTGTACAAGCATTCTACACTAAAATCCAGACCCAAGTTTCATGATTTTCGGTGAAGTAAAAATCGGGAAATAAAAGATTTTTTCATTATGTCTATCATTTATAAAATTATAGTAAAAGGTACTTGAGAAATGATACATGAAAATAAACGATCATCTTAATTTGGATTTACTTTGTTTTGAAAAAGCATTGAAACCGTACTTATTTCAAATAAACTATCTGAAATGCACATTCGGATCTCTTTCCATCCAAACTGCCCAGTCTGCAGCCTGCTCCGTGTCAGACAACAGCAACTGCATTCATCCCACTGCTCTAGTCGAGATTCCTTTCTTTCGAATCCACCAGAAAATCCCGACAGCGTTCCCTACCCAGTCCTCTTTGTCGCCCTCCTCTGCACTGCCTTTGCAGAAGCCTCTATCCCCCTTTGCCTGGATTACTGCAACTGCCTCCTAGCTGCTCTCCTACTTTTGCTAGCCTGTAGGCCATTCTCAATACGGAAGCTAGAGATGATTCCAAGTGTCAGATCACGATCTGGCTGCACACGATCTTTTATTTCACTTCCTGCTGCTTCCTCTCCTCCCTTATTCTAGTCACAATGCTATCATGAATAGGCTGGACATACTCCTGCCTTTATACTGTAAACATGAGGTCACTTACTTCCTTTAACGGCATAAAATTTTATTCTGTAAATCATATCAGTTTCAAGGATACAGTACTGAGAACTGTATCCTTAAACCTTGTTTGCTTTAAACTCATGGACATTTAGAAACTTTGCTGTTTTAAATCATTATCAGAGACTGCCAGAACAGAATAAATGATAAGGTCTGTGAAAGACCAGAATACTGATAAGCCAATCAGAATAGTTCACACTTCTTTTACAGCCTAACGGAACCATCTGCTGCTCCCTGTGTGTGCGTGCTACACAATACCCGCTCAAGCACTGCTTGAAGATAGTTTTCTGAAAGCAAACCTCCCTTACAAGGCAATAAGAAACTCAGCTTTATCCTCAGTTGGTTTTAATCATTCACATGGGTAAACCTCTCTTCTAGTCACTGACCAAATGTCATCTTCTCAGTGAGGCCTACTTCCGATCGTCTCATTTAAAATAACAACTTGAGGGCCGGTGATCTAGCTCAGTGGTTCCACTGCCTGCCTTGCAAGCGCAAGGATCCCAGTTAGATTCCCGGAACCAAAAAAAAAATATAAATACAATAAAATGACAACTTGAACATTATTAATACCCTTGACTCTAGCCAGTGCAAGCCCCCAACTTGTTCAATTTTTTAACTTTTCCTTAAATTCTTCATCATACACTAAATAACGTATTATGTGTATTGTCTCCTTCCATCTGGAGGTAAGCTTCACAAGGAAAGCTTTTGTCCCTTCTTTCATTGGCATAATTTTTCTGGTTCCTTATATTACCAAGCACATAGGAGGCACAGATACTGTGGAAAGAACATTTGATACTTGAGCTGCTCTAGTCAATCAGGAAAGAATTATTCAAATAAACAGAAGCCTATAAATAACCAAGCAATTTAAATGAAAATTATAAAGTAAATATTCCATACATAGCAAATTTAATTCCCTTTAAATCTAGTTTCTTGGAAAATTGCTTATATTTTTTAAATATGAGCACACTGGGAACACTGAAAAGACTTTTAGAAAGTACTGTCATAACATTTACCATTTACAGCCTGTGAAAGTTGAGTTCCATCGTTTAAGAAGTTCAACATTGAGGAATCTGGTTCATTTTCTGAGTCCTCACTTTCATCTGATGAAACGCACTTTGCATCATCTTCAGAAAGTTCTGCTTCATCATCCAAAAACATCCTAGCCACACGCTAAGACAAAGCAGAAACCATGAAGATATCCTTCAGAAGATCATTTTCTTTCATGATTGTGGTTCTTGAAATAGGGTATTTAAATACTCTTAAAATTTTTAATTGGCACGAAACTGTACATTATGGGGTCACAGTACGACATTTCAGCACACGCACACCACGTGTGAGGTCTGGATCAGGGCACCTGCTCTGTCCATCGCTTGAACACTTAGCATTTCTTTACGATGGGAATATTCAAAGTCCTCTGTAGAAGCGACTCTGAAATACACAACTTGCAACAAGTTCTCCTGTGCTATGGAAGTTACTCCTCTTTGGAAAATGGATTATTTCTCAATGAAGGGTTTTTCCCCCCTAATTTTTCCCCTGTTGAACTCTGAAATTTCACACTGAGCTAGATCCCCAGCCCCCATTTTTTTTAAATAACTGTATTTATTTGGAGACAGGGTCTCACTAAGTTGCTACGTTGCCAGGGCGAGGCTCAAATTTGAAATCATCCTGCCTCAGTCTCCCAAACTGTTGGGATTACAGATGTGTGCCACTAGGCCCAGTTTTGTTAACTCTATGAAGAAAAAAAAATCTTCAAGAAAAAATGATAAATATGTCTACATAAAATGATTCTTGATAAATTTTTAGTAAAATAACAGACAAGTTATCCTGTCAGCTTCCTGCATATTTTTAATATGCAGCTAACTAGTTTTTGCCAGGAAAAATACTACAAACCACAAGGTCTGACCAGAGGAAAAGATGCTAAGAACATTTTCCAAATATCTGAATACTAGACATTGATATGGAAAATAATAAGACTGTAAAAGCAACTATCTTAAAGCTCAGATTTCTGTGTCTACATTTTCTTCAATTTGAACAATAAATTTTCCACGTACTTCACTTACTCATTCAAAATAACACAACACTACAAAATAAGGTATCAAAATACAAAAGGGCTGAGGATTTAGCTCAATGGTGCTCCTGCCTGCCTTGCAAAAGACCTGAGTTCAATACACGGGAATTAAAACACACACACACACACAAAGAGAATGCTGGGCACGATGGTGCACACCTGTGATCCCAGCACTCAGGAGACTGAGCCAGGAAGGGAGGCCAGCCAGGGCTACACAGTAAGTTCAAGGCCATCCTGTACTACATAGTGAAACCCTGTCTCAAAAAAACAAAACAAAAATAAAAACACACAGAGTCAAAGAAAAATGTCACACTTTGAGATTTTAATTCCAGGAAAAAAAATCAAAACTGGTGCCAAAGCCAAAACATTTCTTTCAAAATCATGGTATTTTTCTAATTTAAAATGCATAAATAAATATACTTTGATGTAAATGCTAATGATATACACACGTATATACCTACATACATATGTGTATATATGTATACATACATACATATATATATGTAAAATTTTTTAAAACTAAAGAAAGATTACCTTTCTGCGACTCTGTCCATTCTGGACTTTGATGCGTCTTCTAGCATTCCTATTACAATTCTTCAAATCTTTTAATTGTAGATATGGTGTGTTATCACTCTCATCACTAGATGATAATTCAGACTATAAAAATTCAATAAAATTATGCATAAGAATAAATCATTGGGCTAATTTATCCTAATATATTTGTCAAAATAATTCCTTTTATTTTTAGGTTTTTTTATATATTTTAGTTTAATATGCACTTACAAAAATAAAATTCCCCTCATAATTCAGATCTATATATAATACTTAAGAATTTAAAAAGCAATCAGTTAAGTAATTCTAAATGCTAAAATGCTAAATTAGGTAACATAAATATTCATTTAATTTAGTTTTCTCTCAGATATATTTGATGAAAACTTGTATTTTTTTTTTTTTTTTTTTTTTTTTTT